TGGCTGCCAAGGTCGATCTGTCGGCTCATACACCGACTCCGCTGGCATCGAAGTGATACGCCGCCAAGTGGCTGACTTCATCGAGAAGCGTGATGGCATACCATCCAACTGGGAGAACATTTACCTGACTGCAGGTGCCACTCCCGGCATCAAAAGCATACTCTCACTTGTGCGGTGAGCATTTCCACTTTCCTTTGCAACATAAAAAAAACTAATTGCGTATAATTTGTTTCCTTTTGCAGCGCGAAGGTTGGCGGCAAACGTCCCGGCGTGATGGTGCCCATACCACAATATCCACTCTACTCGGCCACCATCTCCGAATACGCCATGACCCGCATCGGTTACTACCTGAATGAAGAGCAAAACTGGAGTCTGGAAGTGCCCGAACTGGAACGCGCCTACAATGAAGCACGGAAGACGAGCGAACCACGTGCGCTGGTCGTCATCAACCCGGGCAATCCCACCGGTCAGGTGTTAACACGTGAAAATATTGTTGACGTCATCAAATTCGCGCATAAACACAAGCTGGTGTTGCTAGCCGATGAAGTATATCAGGCGAATATCTACGACCCGAACTCGAAATTCTACTCCTTCAAAAGTGTCGCCTACGAGATGGGTTCACCCTATAGGGAAATGGAGTTGTGCAGCTTCTTGTCCACATCGAAAGGTTATCTGGGTGAATGTGGCATACGTGGTGGCTACATGGAGGTGCTAAATATGTGCCCACAAGTGCAAGCTATGCTAACGAAGTCCATAACGGCGGGGCTGTGCAGCACCACCGCCGGTCAGGTGGCGGTGAGCGCTTTGGTGAGTGAAAGGCTAAAGTTTTATTCACATTATTTTTATTTATAATATATTTTAATATTTGTAGGTTTATCCACCGGAGAAGGGCGAGCCCTCATACGAGCAATATATTGCTGAAAGGACCGCTGTTTTGGATGGCCTCAAGGAGCGCGCCGAGTTGGTGTACAAAACATTCAACAGCTTCGAAGGCTTCAAGGTGAATGTGGTGCAGGGCGCTATGTACGCCTTCCCACAAATCGTCATACCACCAAAGGCCATTGCGGCAGCTAAGTCGAAGAACATGGCACCCGACACTTTCTATGCATTTGAATTGCTGGAATCAACTGGTTAGTGAACTCCACTTCACAATAATGTTGATACATTTTAATTGTTTAATGATTTCATAAAATTTTGCAGGCATTTGCATTGTTTCCGGCAGCGGTTTCGGCCAAAAAGAGGGCACATATCACTTCCGCACCACAATTCTGCCACAAACCGACAAGCTGAAGATCATGTTGGACAAATTCCAAAACTTCCACGCCGACTTCATGAAGAAATACAAGTAAACTGTTTTTTTGCACACGTAATAGGGCAGCCAAGTGATAAACAAGCAATGCGGCATGCGGCATGAGACTGTTGTGGCGTTGCAACATAATTACTATTTGATGGCGTTGTGTGTTTTGGACGATTTGCGATTGTTTTATTGTGTTATTTTCAACATTTTTATAATATAAAGTAATTAGTAAGCGCTTAGACTAAATTAAAGCCAGGAGAGTTATTGCTAAAATATAAAATTGAAGAAATAACAAAATGTGTACTCGTAAAAAATATACATACATATATACATAGGTTCGTAAAAATGCATTACTTAAACGATTGTTAATTTTACATTGTTGTAGCTAAAGTTATAAACGTAAAATATTGGAAAACTGAAAATATATACATATTTGTATTGTGAATTTGCCAAATTTTGATTGAGAAAAAATATTAAATTGCATCAAAAGTGTTTGGGGGTTTATTTTCGATTGGCTTTGCTTATAGGTGTAATTGTCTGATATTAAGAAAATTAAATAGTCGTTTACACAACGTTTTGTATACAAGTTTTGAAAGTATTGAATAAAAAAATTATAAATGGGAAAACTGTGTTTTCATTTTAATGTTAAACAGTGTTGCAAACAATGCATAAAAAATAATTATATCAGATTGCATTTTTTTATTTTTTAACTCTAAAATCTCAATTAAAATAATTTTTGAATTGCAAAAAAAAGCATAAAATTTTGTTTTTAACCAATTAATTTTCTTTTGTCAAACTAACTTTTTTTCAACAAAAAACTTAAGTAAAAAATTTTTCAATTCTTAATTCCAAATAAGGTATTGAAATTTTAAAAATATTTGTAGCAAATACTAAAAAGAATTATGGTCCCAAAAACCGTATTTAATTTTTAATACCGGAAGGAAAAATAAAAATAGTGAATACCAAGCATATGTATGTATTTATTTTAATTTAAATTTAATTTTATACCAAATACCAGATGGAAAAATAAAAAAAATACTAAACCCAGGCATAAATCAATTAGGAATTGAAAAAGAAATTGTTTTAGAAATAAAATTTTTTCGCGTTTGTGTATTTATTTCTACCATTTTGAACTAGGGCTCACTCAGAGTCATCTTATTTAATACTATAGGGCACTAGTCGACAAACTTTCACTTTTACTATATTTTATAAATTTTTATTGATTTTGCAATAAAAATATGAATTTAATTTTTTACTGTTAACTTAAAAGAAACTTCCAATTTTGAATCCCAAGCATCTTCAATTAAAAACTAAATTTTACATTTTTAATTCCAATTTCGCAAATTAAAATCAAAACTAAACAAAAAGAATTCGCAACCCTAGCTATAAATCGGAAAATATAAACAATTACAGTAATTACCTATTTTTTCCATGAAATTAAAACGTCATATTTTTTTCTTAGAGCAAAAATGTAATCTTTAATACAAACTTTAATAAATTAATATTGATTTATTCAACTGACAGAGACTCGAAATATGCAGGTTTTAAGTTACGTACGTGCCTTCAGACAGCCTCATTATGTTAACCGTACAATGTGCACGATCACCGCCATTGCGTGGTATTTTATTTTTGTAGGTATGTATGTTTTTATTTTATTTTTATTTAATGCGGACTTTTAATGCAATTGTCTGCTCGCACACTCATTAACTAAGAAAAAATAAAAAATAAAAAGAAAATTATACAATATAATGAAAATGTCTTCATCATAATCAACACTATTAATACGATTGTAAAAATTCTCCGTATGCACACACTCCTTCTCCCTAACACTTGCACGGAGAAAGTGTATTTTTTTTTTAATATAAATTACAAAATTTGGAGAAGGATTTCACTTAATACTAAAGTAATGATGACTAAGCTAGGCGCACATTTCATATATGTAAGTAAATTAAATTATTTAATATAATAAATTGCTTAAAATTAATTAGTTAGCAGCAGTAGCTCAGCGTAGTAGAAAATATTTGTATGCGATATTTAATTTCCACAAATACAATACTAATCTGCAGCGTACAAAATATCCATGGGAATTAATTTTGTCTATTTTTTTTTGTTTGTTTTTCCTTCAATAAGATAAATAAATTTTTCAATTCTTGAAAATTGCTTGAGTTTCGAGTGTGACTGATTGCGATTTGCAGTGGATGCGACACGAACATGTTTATTTAAGAATATATTATAATTAATCACTAGTTTTTAGTCGTTTCACTGGACCTTCACTGCCTTGCGAGTTGGAATCCTCAGAAAATGGCATGCTAGAAACAAATTCTGTGGCACCTTGGGAATCGCTAACCATAGAAAAACCTGTGAAATAGTGGTAGAAAAATTGTTTTAATGCCTAAATGTAAAATTTTTATATATAACTATTATTTATTGCAGTTAGGAAAATTAATTCGAATGCAAACATTTGAACTCATCATTTTGTGTGCTTCGACTCACAGGTGTTAGAATCTTCCGCAGTCAGACCGGCGTAGGGCGTTATTTGAGGTGGTGTTGGCGTGCCTTTCTGTGAATTTTCCTTATCACTCTTATTAACACTGCTCACTTTTTTCTTTTCTGAATTCGATATGGGCACCCATTTGTAAATTTTCATGGTTGTATCACCAATTGTAACCCATTTCTTTTCCCTATAATTTCAAATTAAGTTTCAAAATTAATTGGCACATTTTACTATTAGCTAGTGGAGGCCATCTTACCAATGTCTCACTTTTTCCACTGCATTCATAACACGTTTGATGTCATCTTTAGCTCGGCTACGAGTTTCCGCACGAACACTACGCGACATTTTCCACTATTTTATACAGTATTTAGGATAATTTGCTAATTTTTTGGTAATTAAATTGCAAGTTTTTCGAAATTTCCTGCTTTAACTTCAGCGATGTAAACAGAAAACGAAGATTCGTCGAAAATGGCCGCTAAATGCCGAGTACCACCATATGACAGCTGACCATGCCTTTAAGACGCCTGTACACAAATATTTGTTGTAGTAAACAGATGTGAGTGAATGAATGAAATACACTGTTTTAACAAAACTAATGTATACTTAATTTCTTATTGGAAGAGTGTCTATAACATTTAGTTATTTAATTAACTTTATAATATTAAGATTATTTCAGAATTTTATATTTGTTTCGCAAATTGTTTAAATTTTATACACAGGGATCTTAAGAAAATCAAGAAATCAATAACTTATACTGCTGTCAAAATTTAACGAAACAGAGTGGATGCAGTTGACTAGAAAATCAAAAGTTATGTGATTTTTAATTTGTTTATAAATTTTTAATTCTGTAATAACATTTTTTAATTATACTGGAAACATGTTAGGGAAAAATATTGTTTTATTAAATTCAGAAATTTGACAAAACAAATTTAAAAGTACTTGCTTGTGTTATTGTGTTTCTCTATGAAAAATTATTGTTTAAATATGTATTATCTGCCAATCAATTTAACATTTAAGTTTATTTATTAAATATGTTAACGAAATATTTTTAACAACCCCAATATGATAGGGAATACCACTATTATGAGTTTCTTTTCGTTCGTTCCATTTGACGATTCGTTGATTAATTTGGACATACGACAAAATGCAGCCCTACAACCTGAGTGGCAAACAAATTTGAGACTTGAGGAAATTGTACGAAAACGAGCGATCGAGCGAATGCGTGTGAATATGGAGCGTTGTGAAAATTCTTCAAATTAATAAATAAATTGTACGAAAAACGCGAACAATTTTTATATATTAATAATAACGCGCGTAGTGTGTGTAATATTTCAAATTTTGTAAGAAGAAAGCTTTTGCCTATGCGGTGGTGTCATTTTAGAATTTCTAATAGTGCTGTCAGCTGCAAGGTGTAGCGACACGGTTGAAGAAAAATTCGCTGTTGGTTGCCTAGCGCATATACGTGAAGGAAACTTCGTCCGTGGTCATTTTCAAGGAGAAACAGCAAATCCAGCTATGTGAAATTCCGACATATATTCACAAATATGTTTTTATAGTTTTATATCTTAAGAATCGTTGCCAATTGATTTGGTTTAAGGGCATAGTTAGACAATGGCAGGCGTAGACGTGAGTTAAACAGTTGGAAAATTCAATAAGCAAACGGAAAAAAAATGAAAATTGGAAGTGCATCATTTGCCATGTTTCGCAAGGGCAATGTGCGGCAATGGCATATTGCTTGAAGTGTAACGTGTAGTTGAAACGAAAGTAGTGCAAAGTGTAGAATTTAAAAAGCTGAATTCAAATACAAAATAAAAGCATTAAATATATAATATACAAAAAGTCAAGCAGAAAAAAAAAGGCGACAACCAGCGATTGACGTACGAGAATTGTTAAATAGCCGTCCGGTGAGCGCCGGACCACAAAGTGGTGTGCATAATTTTATAAACGGCGGGGTGAAGTGCAATCCGGTTAGTCGAAAAAAGTTTGTGTATATAAAAAATATAAAAAATTTTCCAATGTTAAATTTGTAAAAACGTAAAGATTTTTATACAAAAAGTAAACAAATTACAAATAAATTGATCTACTAATAAAGAGATCAAAAAGTGTGTATGCAGCTCTTCCTAAATGAAATTTTCTCTCCTTTATATTAACTCATCCAAAAAATTTTCTGGCATAATTTAAGCACCATCTAAACAAATCACATTGGAAAGCGCCGTCTTTAGCTTTGTTATTGTGTCTAAAGTGTTTTTACTAGCGTATATTTATATGCCACCTTGCGCTTCCAATTTTTCTACTGCAACAATTGCCGCTTTACTTAAAATCAACAGCTGTTACCTCATAACTCCTCTATAATTTCAATCAAAGTAAAACGGGTGGGGAAAAATAATAATTCTATTAGTTTAGTAACAGAATGCCCAAATGCGACATGAAGACTCGCTACATTCCTGCTACATTTGCCTGGATCCTATTGCTGTCCACGACGTTTCTTTTCTTTTTCTATCCGTAAGTATCATGTTACAATTAATTATTTAATTATTATGTATATTTTAAATATTCATTACGTTACATTCCTATGTGTTCTTTTTTATGTTATGAATATTCATTTATTCAATTAATCACAACAGTTAAATTGATAATTTTTTTTACGAATTTGCAAAAATTAGCAACTTTCAAAACAGTTTTGTTCAGATAAACAAATAGGTTCGCATTTCCGAAAGTAATTACTTTTATACCTAAAATATATACATATACAAATATAAATTATCAGCGAGACGAGCTGAGTCGAGTTAGTAATTTTTGTATGGCGCGAACTAGGTCCCCCTGTTATTGAGATCTAAAATGTTCACACATTGTTTTCTCCCAAAGAAGTCTCTTGTTTGTCAGAACTGATCAATCATTCAATTATGAAAACTCTGCTAATTTAACAAAATTTCGAGAAATTTTTATATGAATCATTGCTTAAGACACCGCTATAATATCTGGAAATTATAAGGAAACTTAATTTTTTTATTCTAGCACTGGCGTAACAAGAGTTAACTCCTGTTTTATATTATTTTATTTACATACATATGACTACGCCAATTAAGAAGAAGATATAAAATAATTAATTATACTAAAACATTTTTGCAGATAAGTAGGGCATATTTACATAATAAAAATTTGGATATTTCACTAATTAAGTTATGTAAACACAACTTGCTAATTAGCGACGATACAGTAGTATACATACACATTATTATTTAATAAATGCTCATGATATGTATTTTCACTATAACCTATGTATATACATACACATATATAAAAGTATATACACATGGTAAATAGATCGATATAGCAAATATTTACACCGTCTTGAAAACAAAAAAATAAAAAACAAAAATTTTATTTGTAAAAGTTTGTCTGCCTCCTCATTATCATTTATATTCAATACTCCGCATAGTAAATAAAACTGTATGGCGGCATATACTCGTAAAATAATTACATCTGTATATGTGTATGTATACACTCGATTTTGCTTAATGTGTCGTTATTTTGGCGCAGCCAAAACGTCGTCTTTGTAATCATCAATAGAAATGAAAATAAAACAAGCCATAAATAACAAAGAAAAGACAGCCAGTGTCTGCTGCTACTAAAGTGGTATGATTTTGGGTGTAACTGCTGTAGTAAAAGCCAACATGTGAATGGGTATAAGAGATAATAAAATATATCAAGTGCAGTACGCACTTTCTGCTTTCACATTGCTATATTTGTTCAACTGCTGCATCAAGCCACGTCTGCGCGTTCCAGCGTGCGAAGAAACAGACAGTCTGCGTGTCTGTCTGCTTATGTTTGGCCGTAAAAGGCACAAAAGGAGTGGAGTATCTTGCTTTGGCATCCGGCTAATGGCCATATGTGGCAGAAGAAAAACACTAAGTTATGGAGTATGTGCATTGAGAAACCGTTATATGCGCTAAATTAACTTTGCAGTATTTGCTAAGTAATATTTGCAAAGCGCTTAATTCCTAAAAGTTACAAATGTCATTAAAATTTCAAAACATAAATTTATTCATTCTTTACTCATATTTTATAAATATGTGGTTTTGTTGTTGTTGTTGTAACRGCGAAATTCTGCCGAGTTGACAGTCCTTGGCCGGATAAAAATCCGGGTCCGTTCCGGTTTTCGCAGACCCGACTGTCGTGGGAACGGACAGGTTTTAGTTTAATATTGGTAAGTTCAATCATAATATTACCGCCTCTTAGAAACTTGAAGAAGCCCTTCCTTAATTACGCCGACGACATAAGACAATACGCTGACCACACTTCGAACCATTAACTTCAGACATGCGCTGACCGCCATTCACAGTGGAGCCATAAACGCCTTCACCGACTCCCTATCAATAAATGGCATACTTGGAGTCAAACCTTCACTCGTCACAGAGGACGAGCGTGAGTTGCCCCGTTCCCACGACAGTCGGATCTGAGTAACCGGAACGAACCGGATTTTTATCCAGCCAAAGACTGCCAACTCGGCAGAACTCTACCGCTACAACAACAACAGAACAAGTAACCGCTAAAATCGAGAGTTTTCGTTGCGTAGCTTCGTTCTGGATACTGCAGCAGGTTAAACTCCTATTTGTCCAGAATCCACCACGACATAACAAATATATGAATTTCCAGCATGCAACGAGTCCCCGCATGTCCAGCTAATTGTACACATCTGACACCCCTCTTCCTATGGTCCGACTTCGTCGAAACAACACGTTTCCTGGGCCTACCGTTAACCTCGTTAACAACTTATCTGAACCTTGACGCCTTACGGGGTATAAATAACCGTTACAACAACAACAACAAATCGATCGGTCAAAATCCTGCCTTCATATGGTATATTTTGCATTGGTGAAGATTAGCGTTTTTTACTCATATCTCTACATATTCGTATGCTTAACATATCAGCAGTTGCATTAGAAAAATTCCGTCTGAAATCTTAAACTATTTTAGCTGTGATTAATAGCCACCCAACCAAAGTCAACTATTTATATATACACTGATACACTCATACAAACTTATGTATATACATACGTAAGAATGATAGCAGATTTTCACTACAATAGTAACTAAAAATACTCGACTTGGTACTATATTTTATCTCGCTTCGCTAGACATTGCATGGAGTCATTATCACGGGTTTATTGTAACATTGCTTTTGCCGGGGTATTTATCAAGCATGTTTTGTTTTATTATTTTATATACTACGTATTATATATATGTATATATGTATATGAAAGTTCTCGGGAACCGCATTTTTGAGTTAGCACAAATATACAGTAGCGGACAGTGAAATTCGGACAACTAAAAAATCATAGTTTTTCTTTATTGTTTTAGTGGAATGTTTAAATTTTTAAACAATAATATATATTTAATACATTAATATTAAGTCAGTAAAGTGGTTTGCACTTATATAATTAGTTTTAATTTTAATTAATTTTAGATATTTTATCATTTTGGTAACTAGCAATATAAACAGTGATAATTTTTTTTAATTTTGATTTTATAGTTTTAGTTAAAAGGAATATTAATATATACAAAAACACTCTTTTTAGTATTTTCAAACCTCCTTTGTTTTTTATAACGGCTTTTATACGCTCGGTCATTGAATTTATGAGTTTTTTATTGTTGCTGCTACAATACCGTTTCCAATATCGTTATACCACGCTTTTTCGAGAATTCCATCCAACTCTGTTAAATTCTTTGGTCTCTTCTGTGCTACCTGCGCCTTCATTATAAACCAAAGGTTCTCAATAGGATTGAGATCCGGACTGTTACCTGGCCACTCCAAAGTCGAGAACCCAATTTTTGATAAATAATTCTTCACCTTAAGAAAAAAGGATAAGTAAAAAATTTTTAATTAAAATTATAGCAATAAACTCTAGTTGTACAAAAAAATGAATACTTACTATTTTGGCATAATGGCAGGGCGCAAAGTCATCCTAAAAATAAGAACATCCGCTCGTTATAATTGGTTTTCCACTGAATGTGTTAAATTTCTTTCAAGTATCTCCTGATACTTATTCCCATTAACGATTTCTTCTATTAGGGCTAGATGCCCAAGGCCATAGGAGGAAAAGCAACTACAGGCCATTCGGCTGCCTCTCTGTTACACAGTTTTTAAACACATTCGTCCTTAAACCGCTCACCAGTTTTCCTTCTCACGTAGCATATACCTTCGCTGCAGAAAATGTTAAATTTGGACTCATCTGAGAAGATTACATTTCGCCAATCAAGTTGAGTCCAATTTTGATGTTCCTTTGCCCATCGTAAACGGTTATGACGCTTTTTTGAGGTTAAAAGTGGTTATTTACGGCCCGACGAGCGTTCAAATCAACCTCTTGAAGTCTTCGGCGAACAGTTCTTGCGCTAACTTCCATACCGACATCTTCGAAGAACTTTACTTTAATGTCCTCAGCAGTTTTAAAGCGATCCCTCAAGCTGATAAGTTCTATAACCCGAACTTCGCTAGAACTTGCTTCTTCTTTGCTCCAGAGGCAGTTTTTCTCTTAACAGACCTGGTTTTATCGAAATTTTTTAGAAATTCTTCGATGGAAGACTTGCTCAAACCAACTCTATCACTAATTTCCCGAATGGTCAGATTTTCTTTTCGCTAAATCAAAATATTACGTTTTTTCAAATCGAACATTTTTTTTTTTTTTAATTTGGCATATTTTAGCTTTAACGAAGCACGACTATTGAAGAAAAAAACTAAAAGTTATAAAACGTGTGCAGAGGACTAATTTATGTGAAAGAATAAACCTTTCCGCAGAAAATTACACTTGTCGGTTATCGTGTTTTAAATACAAACCGACGGGTGGTCCGGATTTCACTGTCCGCTACTGTATATGTAACATTCCATATTTATCTGAAACTTTGCCTTATCTGCTTTTCACTGCATAGGTTTACTTTTCTTTATTATTTTCTTGCTTCTTGCTAGTTCTTACATAATTTTCTCAACTATTTCGCGCACTGAAAACTTTTTGTTTTATTATTATTTTTATGCCCTTTTTGGATTAAATAATCATCAGTTTATCGCTCATAATATAACTATTTACCCACTGAGGAAGTTGTAAGATATGTAATGAAAATAACTTCCACCAGTGTAACATAACGAGGGACCCCAGATGCTCACGGCGTAGTCTTGCCAAAGCGGAGCACAAGAGAGCGGAGCACAAGAGATGCTCATTATCTTACAATCTCTTCTATCGAGTACCAATAGGAATTTTGAGTACTTCCGATCTACCGTTTTGTACACCATGCTCTCTACCATGCTTCTGTCCAGATTGTCGTAGTAACAATGCATGGGGTTAAAAAAGTTGATCACATTTTCCGTTATTAGCCGTACATCATCTTGGCAATCTCGTTCACCATTTCGTTGCCCTCGATGCCTTTGTAGTCCGGCATACAGTAGAAGTAAAGTTACCTGCTTTTGGCAACACTTTTCATTGCTGCCCTACTTCCCATGACTCTTCTGG